CTCTGTGCTGTGGATCCAAATACTGTCTCAGCACAGCTCACCTCCTCAGCACTGGGGGTGGGGGGGGCTCTGCTTCTTGAGTTTTTTGCTGTTTTGCACTGTGAAGTACATCTGAGCATTTTATGTGGCTATGGTGTCCCTGGGCCTACTCTAGAAAGTTGTATAACAAATTTCTTCTACATGAGGGTCACCCTGATACCAGCAACATTGAGCTATTGAAATCTTGATTTCAGGATCTGCAAAGAGGTGAACCTGAAGAAGATAGCTTGTACAGGACAGTCCCCTTCGGAGCACTGCTTGTTTACCCTTCATGACCGTGTGGCCAGCTGGGAGCAGCAGTATTTATCAGGAAGAGAGTATTAGGTCACGTGTTGCCAGCAAATTGTTAACTGCTTCCAGATGTGGTGGAGGATGCTTGTAATCCCAGCACTGGGAGACTGAGGATATGCATTTGAAGTCAGCCTCAGCTACATACTGTGTTCAAGGCCAGACCGAACTACACAGCAAGATCCTGTGCATGGGGCTGGTGTGGCTTCCACACCTCCACCATAGGGGCTCTCTGATTCCCAAGAGGAGGCAGCACAGCTCCTTATCCTCCCCTCACTCCCAGATCCTGATGTCTTCACAGAAATCAGCATCCTGGTTCAATTATCACTGCATAACAAACCATCTCAGAATATAAAGACTTCAAATATCTTCAGTATTAGGGACCATGAGTTTGGTTGCATCATGGCTTCTTCAGCTGACCCTGCCTAAATCATTCTTGGAGTAACATTCCATTAATGGACATTCTCAGTAGTATCCCTTGAAAGAACATCTACAAGACACTGATGGATACCATCATTACACTGCATGATGAGAGGCACAAATCTTTCTTGTTGAGATCAGAACTATGGCAAAGATTTCTCACAAGTTTTCTTCAATATCACAGCAGAAGTTGTAGCTATGCCTCAGAGCTGAGCCCAGCAGCTGCTGGATGCCGAGGCCTGAGCACCTGTGTGTGATGCCAGGAGCGCCATGGACTCCCACTGCAGCTGGTGTGTTTGTTGGGGGGGGCGGTACCTTCTGGTGCATGGTTGGTATTTGTTGCCCCCTCTCAGCCATGACTCCAGTCCAGGGTGAGTGTGGGGTTTGGCAGCATGACCAGGGGCAGGACCTGCGCAAGCTCCAGGCTGCTGCACACCACCTTGCCCTCGGTGGGCGCCTCCACCCTGCTGCTCCCTAGGGTCCTGCCCATAGTGCTTGCAGCCCTGGGACAGTGCCATGACCCCGCAGATGCCTCGTCCTCCCCCTCCTCCTCCCCCTCCCCCCCTCCTCCTAGCATGATGAGCAGCGCAAGCTGCAGAAGGAGGAAGGGTGGCGGCAGCATGCAGCCCGGGGGGTGCCCAGACAGCTCCATGCTGTGGGCCGGACTTGTGGGAGGAGTGGGTAGCGCTGGCCTCAGCTCAAGGGAGGGTAGGCGGGGCCTCCAGGCGACTGCAGGGCCCGTGCTCCTTTGTCTGAGGCTGACATGCTCAGCCTCAGGGAGCCGCAGGGTCAAGGCCGCCAGGTCCCAGTGCCACTGCACAGCCCACAGGAGCGCTGCCTCCTCAAAAGTTGGTTTCTTTGCAGGTAACCAAAGAAGGAAAAATGATTAAGGATGAAGAATTAAAAGATGAAATTTAGCATTTTAAAGGACAATAATTTAAGCAGGATATGGAGTAGTTTTACACATCAAAACTGGCAATTTAAAAATTTCGAGCCCGAGGCTGGGTGTTGTTATTCAGTAACCCTCATCATAGTGATTCCCAGCTAACTTGAATTTGGGACTCAACTTGAAAGTTAGGATGCACTTAATAAATATTTCTGTTAATTGGAACTGACATTTTAAAATATACATTTTTCATTACCTTAGGTAATTTTTCATAGTGGCTTTTCAGTCTGTTCCCATTCAGTAGGGTGACTTGTGACCTACAATCCTTTGTAATCACAGTCTTCTCCTCCGTGTGCCTGCATTTTAATATCCAGAGACTAATTGTGAGGTCATAAGGGGTAGTCAAGCAGAAGTTGAAGGCACTGAATGGAAAGTACTTTGATTTATCAGACCTAAAGAATTTACATACTCAATATTGAATAAGAGAAAGGAATAAAAAGCATGATTAAGATAAATATGAAACTTCTCAATTGTGGCTTTCATGGCTTTTGAAGTGTAATGCTTGAAATACTACCTGAAAGTTGAATCAACCTATAGATGATGTTTCAAATTAGAATAGTTACATATGGTTTCCCTTTTGCATGTTATGTGTCTATATGCAAACTTCTGTTCCATGAAGTTATTTTAGAAGATAAATTTTAAATAATAAAAGCATCAGAATACCTGAATTGCTAAGCATCATTGTTGTAGAAAATGTACCTTTTAGATTATTCCATCTCATTAACACTTTTTCATCCTAATATTTCTGTATATTCAGATGAATTGGCAGAAAAGATGAATACATTTGTTAGGGAAGAAATTATAGAATCACTAGAGTTGATAGACTTCAAGTGGGTCTTTCTTTCAGTTTGGCTCTTTAACAGTCTACTGCTTTGTGTTGAACAGGAAAGGATGGAGTGTTACTTTTACACCTGTCATTGTCACCTAGGACCACCTCATGGCCTTTGGGAACCAAACACTGAAGTGCTGTTAGGAACTGAAAAGGGTGCAGAGTCAGATGGCACTTTTGCTAGTTATTGTCTCAGTGCCCTTGGGCAAAGGGCTGGCTGTCTGGGCCACCCTGTGTCTGAGATTTCTCAGAGCCCCTCCTCTCATTTAATTGGCATCTAAAGCTATTGTTGATATACCACTATTTACTTTTAAATCCTTATCACCTAGACATCATGTGTGTAGGTGCATATTAATGTTGATTGATGTACAATATATGGTTTCTGATCTCTGTCTGTTTCACATAGTTGTATGAAATTAAACAGTTGCATGTACTAACATGCTAAATGTCCTGTAAATGTAAGATACTATGTTTATACAGTTCTTTTTCTCAAGGAATTTGCATTAAAAAAACAATACCCACAGATGCTGCTTTTAGTAATAATGAATATTTTTTTAAAGAAGTCAAACAAATGAAGGAGATTATTTGACAAAATACCTTTTGCTAGTTTGTCATTTTTTCCTTTCTGACCCTCTTCTTGGGTTTTTCTAGTTTCTGTTGGAGAGAAAAATCTGGTGAAGATTTCTATTCAGAGCATTTCTTTTTCTGCTAAAAAATGTAGCCTTCTTTATTGAACCTATAAGTGCAAAGTTATTTTTAATTTAAGGGCTTATTAGCAAAACATATAGAACATGATTATTACCTATAAGGTCAAACTACAGTTTTACAGGTTGATTTTTAATATACTTTAAGCTTCTTTGATTAAAAATTACTGTTAGCTTCTCTAACTTGTCTCAAATAATAAACTGATGCCTATTTATAGTGAGAAAAATATAATAGGTAACTCAGAATAATAGATAAAGCAAAAGTCACATTTATTTTCTTATATCCATAAAGTGTATTTTTAGCAGTTGTGACACATTTACATTCCCAATGTGCATATTTCACTTAGGTTAGGTTTATTTTACTCCTTAAGAATATAGAGTTGCAGGCTTAGGGTGTTGACCTTGTGTTAAAAATTGCAATAGAAAAAAGTTGCAATAGTTGAATATTTAAAATAGGGGTAATTCAGCATGCTAATTCCTAACCTGCGATAAGTACCCTATTCTTCTATAGTATGACAATATAGTTAAATAAAGGCTTATTTTTAGATTAGATCCTTTCATTTCATATCACTGTTGAAATTCCTTGGTACAATGTAGTAGAAATAAATTTTAGTTGAAGATGTATTCAGATATACTTTGCAATCATAATACAATCATTAAATGGTTAAATAGAACTGAGTGAAGAATTAGAAACTTTTGAAATTTAAACCTGTTTAGTGACTATGTCTACCATCTAATTAAGGGCTGACTATTGCAAAATTAGAATTTTACCCAAGTGCAGAGAATTTCCTTATTGCAAAAGTATAGTACTGACTTGGGCATAGACACACTAAAGAGTAACGTTGGGTTTGAATAATGCAGATTAGATGGTGTAAGGCTCTGCAGTTTTTGAAAACCAGCATTCTCTGGCATTAGCATCCTTGCTCCAAATACCAGTGATCCTATATCATGGTTGAATCCTAAGAGTGATAACACATTTTCAGTATGATCATTAGACCTCTTGTCACTTTATCCCGAGAGCTTTCATAAATGTTTTTAAACTGCTTTTGTTAATGTTGTCTTAAGGTTACATTTGTTATATATACTTATACACATAATTTTTTACAATATTTACAAATATTAGCTTTTGGTGACTAAAAAACAAGATGGAGTAATTTGATTCATTTGCATTTGCTTCTTTGTATTTCTGTGGTACTGGGGATAAATCTAGGGCCTTTGTACTGAGCTACCTCCCTAATCCTTTTTAAAATTTTCATCTTGAAGCAGGGTTTCCCTAAGTCACTAAGTTGTCCAGGCTGGGCTTGAACTCATGATTCACCTGCCCCAGCCTCCCAGAGTGTTGGGATTCCAGGCATGTGCCACCAAACCCAGCTCTTGTCTTTTATTCTAATGGAAAATGTGCTGAATTGACTTTGGGTTATGATACAAATACACAGTTGTGTGTCAAAGGTCAAGGCTTTAAAGTAACTTTGTACTTTTATCTGAGTGTGAGTGTGTGTGTGTGTGTTTTCGGTGCTGGGGATTGAACTCAGAGCCTCACATATACCAGGGAAGTGCTCTACTTCTGAGCTACATCTCCACACCCTGTACCTTTATTGTTAATGATTTGCAAAAGTAAATTTTCATTTACTATATAACAGATTTTAAGTGAATATGGTCATGAGGCAAGTACTTAAATTTCCCAGTATCTTGTGCACCCCTTCATCTCAATAATATTTTCAAAAGAAGTTTTAAAGTAGTATGTATAAAGAGACAACTTTTTTTTTTCTTTCAGATAAACTAAAGATTATTCATCAAGCACATAAATCAAAGGTATGTTCCACCTGCATAGTATCTGGCACATAGCAATAATCAGTGGTGGTTAAATTGGTTAAGTGAGAGAACTCATGGTCATCTAAAATCTTTTCCATTACAATTGCATTTTTAATTTTTGTATATTTCCTTTCTACGCCTCCCTTTCCTGCTAAAGAAAAGTGAAAGCTAAGTCATATATGCCTGTTAGTAATAGATACTTTTAAAAAAGTTAATTAAAACAAAAAGCATGCCATGTGTTATCTAGTACATATTTACATAAAATAAGCATAAAACTTAGTAAATTCAGGTTACATGTAAAAGGAGCCACTTATTTTCTGGCAGTCTGGTCTCATTGACTTTCTTAATTCCTCACCAGAAGAAGGGCCAAAATCAGATCTCTAATTTGCTTGTCTTGACACTGGCTGTAGAGGGCAGGACCATGGCTCTCTCCACACAAGGCACACCCTGGGATTGTAAAGTTGTCTTGCTTTCCCTGATGAAAGCTATTTGTTTATGTGTTCATCATCATGTATTTACATTTCTGTTTTCCTGCCCTTTTAGAGTAAAGTCTTTATTTATTTATTTATTTATTTTGGTAATAGGGATTGAACTCAGATCCTTGTGCTTGTGAGGCAGGTGGCAGAACCACTGAGCTAAATCCCTGGCCCCTAGAGTAAAGTCTTTATGAAGCCACAATCAAAGGGTTGCTTTTTATTACTGACAGAGTGATCTTTTTTCTTGAATCTCAGTGACCTCCTCATTAAAGCGGTCATCTTACTCTACTGTGTGAACTGCTCAGAGGCAAAGAACTGTATCTTATTCTTCATCCTCTTGTATCTCTTAATACCTAGTGCCTGGGTCATAGTTTTTCCATAACATTTTTAAATGAAGTTATTTATTTATTAAATCATTTTGTTCCATTCTCTTCTCTAGTCCTATTCTCCATGAACTCAGTCAGCTTCCAGATAAATGTATATCACAGATCACAAAGAAAGTGTCACAGTGTCTGTTGACTATGCATTGGTAATTTTCTGGGTTTTTCTTTTTTGTTTTTCTTTTTTTTTTTCTCTGTACATCCATTGTCCAATACCTCAAAATGTTGTGCTCACATGTGTCTGGTGCAGTGTGGCATTTGCCCCTTTTATGGGTACTAGAGTATTCTGTCACTATATCTGGCCACAGATCTCATCTATTTTCTCTTTTCCAGTCCAGGAGTATTTTCATCTTGGTTCCTAAAATACAGAGAATAGGAAGTGTGGAAGAATATATATAAGTATATTATAAAACATAAATAAAGTTAGAATGAAACAGTATGCTTTTTGAAAAAATTGCAAAGTATATCATGTCAGTCTCCCTTCAGTGTTGCATTTTTCACCTTGTTGAGCTTGTTCATATGCTCATGTTTCTTGGAAGGACTAATTTGTAAACTCTTACTGGAATGAAGAACTCATTCATCACATTCAAATAACCAGAGTCATGACATGTAAAAAATCTGGAAGTTCTCCTGCAGTTTAGAAGAGAAAAATCCTAGAAGTGTTACTGATATCTGAACCACACATTCTTCTCTGGTGTGTTATATACAGTCGTCCCCTGGGATCGGTTCCAGGACCCAAATCCACAGATGCCAAGACCTTTACATTAAATGGGATAGTATTCATGTCTTACCTACACACATCCTCTTGTATACTTTAAATCATTTCTAAATGACTTCTAATACCAAATTAAATATAAATGCTATGTAAATAGTTGTTGTATTGTTTAGGGAATAATAAAAAGTTCACATGTTCAGTACAGACATAAGCATCATAGACCTGACTGTGTTTTCAATCTGCAGTTGGTTGAATCTGCAGATGTCCAACCCTTGTATGCAGAAGGCCAATTGTAGTTGTAAAATTAGGGCTTATTTTTCTAGTTGAACAATGCATTTATTTAAGAAGGGATTCACAAAAATTAAGTACAGACTTTTTCTGGACTCTGAATTTATAGATCCATAAAAACAATTCTAGTTAAGTACAAGCTCTCTACCTTGGGGATGATTCTGCAAGTTTTCATGGAATTCCACATATTTTTACAGATACACACAGTTTTTAAAACTTCACCCTTATGTTCTCCTTCATATCTTCTCTCACTGCCAGACATTTTTCTCATTTCCAAGTGATAACTGTCCTTTAATCTTCTGTTCCATCTGTGGGGCTTGTAGCTTCTTCAGCCAAGCTGGTCAGTTTTCTAGCCCAGCTAGAATTTTACTCTTTTGATAGCCAAAAGGAGAGACTTCCAAATAACCCTTGTATGTTAACAAATTCATTTATAAAAGGGATTTCTTAGATATTATATAAAAGGAAGAAACTATATCATGAAATAGACTTTGTAAGCAATGTGCAAGATCTTTAATAAATTTTTATTTTAGTTTTTAAAATTTTTATTTTCTGGTCCTGGGGATCAAACTGAGAGCCTGGTGCATGCTAACCAAATTCTCTACTACTAAGCTACATCCCAACCCAGAATAAAATTTTAAGAATGGAAGGGTATCTTTCCCTACTCCTGCCACAAACACACTTGAAAAGCTAAATGTAAACTCTTTTTTTCTAAATGTAAACTCTTATTAATTGTCCAGATTCATTAAAGTGAGCTCCACTTAAGATCTCTGCATTTTATTATGTTAAAGTCTACTTCACTTTAACAAAGTATTGCACTTTACAAGGAATCCAAAATAAAACTTCTGTAGAAATGCTGAAGATATTTTGCCTTTCATGAAATAGCTTGAAGATATCAGTTCTTTCCTAGTTAACTTATAAATTTAAGGTCACCCCAATAAAATAAATAGTTTTTTATATAAAGTAAAGCTGATTATTAAATTTATAAATTAAAAAGGAATTAATATGTATTATGTACATACACCAGCTCTTCACAAAGAATGTAAACATTATGGACTACAAGCATGTACTAATAAAAAATAAAAAAGTTGCCAGGTGTGGTGACAAATGCCTTTAATCCCAGCACTCGGGAGGCTGAGGCAGGAGGATTGCCGTGAGTTTGAGGTCAGCCTGGGCTATATAGTGAGTTCAGAGCCAGTCTGAACTACAAAGCAAGACCCTGTCTCAAAAAAAAAAAAAAAAAAAGCCTGACTGGGCCATAGCAAGGGCTCCACCAGGCTTGCAAAAAAGAAAAGATGAACCTTTAAGCATAGAAGAATCTCAGAGAGTCACAGCATAGCCATACAGCACTGCCTGTGAAACGAACAATCTGGACCCGGACTGACTCTCCCAAACTCACTGAGTTGGGGGGAATGTTTCCTCTCCATCACCACTGGGGAAGCTGGGCTGATGGCTAGCTGCCCCACACCATCAGTATTCACTGGACCTCAGGCCCCTGTGCAGGAGTGCCGTCTAGCTGGGCTGGTGGGCAGGCAGAGCCTTGCTTTCTTCTAGCCAACCTGAGTAGGGGGAAGCCTGGGCAGCCAGGAGGGCAGAGCTCAGGGAGCAGGTGCTGTATCCATTCTGTCCCCAGGTCTGGGGGACAAAAGCTAAAGGCATCAATTCTGAGAGGAGCACACAGGGATCCTCAGCACTGCCATGCCCCTTTAAGGGACAAAAGTTCTGCTCTTCCCCAGAGTCATGTTGGAGCTGTTACTGAACCTGTGAATCAGATGCCAGGAATGAGGGAACTGAGAGGGACCTGACCAGAGCCTCAGTCTGGCATTCCAAACCAGGGATGGGTGGGAGCTGTGGGAATTGAGGCTGCCCAGGACCCCCTTCCTAGGATGCCCCCAGCTTTAGTCACCCTCTTTAATTTTCTACCAGGGACCCCTCCCCCTACCTCATCTTGGTGTTTATTGCTGTAATTTATTGACCTCAAAAATGCATAACAGACCTCATTTGGGACAGGGAGGGTCTCTGGGGCTCCCCCCTTCACTTGGCAGGGCACCATGGGGCCAGGTGCTGAAGGGAGCCTCTCTGTACCCTACCTATCACTTGCTTCCCCCTTCCCCTCTGGGGCCCCTGGTTGGGCACTGGCCCGTTTGCAAATATCTTCAGGAGGAAGGGAAGGGATGGGGTTATAGCTGTTTTGTTTCATTGGAACTGGAAGAAGGATCATGTCCTACTATGTCCTCTCAGAGAGGGGGAAGGACACTGAGATCACACTCCTATACTGGCCACCACCATCACTCATCACATTGAGTTCACCTCCCTTGAGAATTTGGATAAATTCAGATCAGAGCTGCAGGTACACAGCCCTCCAGTGTCACAGAAAAGCGATTCACTGATGACTAATCTCTCCATTCAGAAGCGTGCAGTCTTAATGTACCGTGATGAGAAAGTGTTATTTATGATCATTAAAAGCTTGATTGAAAACTAAAAAAATAAGATTAAATAAAAATAAAATAATCAAAAATAAGTAAGAATAGGAGACTTCTGAAAAATAAATGAGGGTGACTAGGCCTAATATAATATTAAGATGTAGTGCAAAGCCATAGTAATTAAAATGGTGTGGTACTCTAATATGAACTGCTAGTTCAGTGGGACCAACTTAAAAGTCTGAAAATAGATTCAAATATATATAGAAATTTAGTGTGTAGTAAATATGGCATTTCAAATCTATGGAGAAAAGATAGAGGATTCAATAAATGGTACTGAAACATCTGGATAGACATCTAGAAAACAGTTAAGTTGAATCTGTGTCTTTTCCTTTATGCCACAATAAATCCCTATTGTATTAATGACTCAAATGTAGAATTTAAAACCATAGATGAGGATAGAGGTAAAATGGATAGAATCAAAATTAATAATTTGTTCAAGTTGTGTGGTGTGTATGGAGTGAGAGGGTTCATTACATTATTCTGTTTATATAAAATTGTGAAATTCTCCACAATTAAATATTTTAAAATGAAATTCATAAAAACATTTCAGAAAACATGGAATTTAAAAAGTAATTTTGGAGGAGAGACAGTCTTAAGTGTGATAGAAAACTGGACAACCAACCAGAAAAGCACATATTTTACTTCATTAACTTATTCAATCAAAATTATTAATTTGGGACTTTTTTAAAAAAAG